CGGCGCGTCTCTGTGACGTCATATGAGGAATAGCTTTGAGGGCCGATGCAGAATTCATCTACATTTTAGGGGGTAAATTATCTTGTTTACAGGCTTGTATAAACCTGAAATCGTGACAATTCTTGTGGAAAATGAAAGCTATATGTTCTCACAATCTACTGTCATTTAATTTTGTCTCCTGCTTTGCCTAGTTTCGGAGTTACAACTTGTTTTCATAGACGATTCTGTCAAAATCGATTGGTGTCGTTAGGCCCTATTTGTATAATGACTGATCCAAATTGATCCCATTTCTGTGTTGTTTTACCTCGATATTTAATCATGTCATGTAAAAATCTGTTTGTATTCTCAAAACAGTATCGGCCCATAAGTTTTCACATGCAATACAGCAATTAATACTCCCTCGTTGTAACCCGTGTTAGGTGGTATAAGCCTACACATGTTATTTGTCATCATTCACTTGATGGTCAGTTAATGAATTTATAACAGGTATAATTAGTGGTAACACACTTAGATTACCCGACAAAGGTTCCCATTTGGCATTTCTTGTGTCTGGAGTAAATATTCAACATTATAAACATCGATCAAAGGATTAACCGATAACACGCTGATTGATTAATTACTTTTATCTTACACAGCGGAATTGTCAAAAGGTAGTGTTTATGTATGTAGATTTACTAATCTATACTGAATACACTCTGTCGTGTCGGTGTCTGCGTAAAAACAACGTCCTTCTTTCAAAGGATTAACCGGCAATACATTGATTGATTGCCCATTATTGGCTAACTGAATTACTGTTTTTAAAGAAAGGCGGACATTATGCAATTAGTTGCCAGGTGTGCTATCTTGGGTGACCAATGAGACTATACACCAATACCTGAAAAGATTTATCACTTTTTCGTATATTAAACTGTTAAAAGACACATCATTTGGAACAGTTTTGTGGATATTGATGGATACATTCCTCGGACAAGGTAATGGCCTGATATTGTTCCTATAACTTTAATCTGTTTTAATTTTAATATTTGCATTTTGTTTTCATTCATTTGTCGTAGCATTCAACAGAATCATTGTTTTCGCCGTGAAGTGTAATGAGACAGACAACATGCACTAGGGGGTGTGTGCGAATTATGATTCACATTGGCAAACTATAAAATGTCTAGATATTACAGTTCTGTTATAAATTCACTATAAGTATCAGCAGATCGTCTACTTTTTATTTAGTTTCAAAATGCATACAAGTGTGATAATAAACTAATTAGGATTATAAGACCAAATATAAAGACGCACATTGACTAGTATCTACATACTGGTGAGTGGACATTAACCATGGGAATGTAGCAAAAGAAATTTATCAGCGCAGTATTGTGACTTTGACTCCCCACCTCGCTTCCGTGGAAGAAATCGTTATGTTATAAGTTGTGTCATGCAAAATCCGTTTGGTTATGATTCCATTACATATTTAACAACGAGTAGAAAGTAGTCTTGATTTTCTAACTTGATGAAAACAAACTAATCTCATTAATTCTAACAGATTTTTATATTTTTTAAAATGGCGGCGCCCTGTCGCGAACATCCGCCAGTCTGAGGATAAATGGTATTTAGGTTTGTTTTCACCGAGTTACAAAATCAAAACTACTTTCTACTGGTAGTAAAATATGTATTTTATTGATGGCCAATAGGATTTTGCATGACATAGCGTATATCATAACAATTTCTCTCGTGGCAGCGAGGTGGGTGTCAATATAATACTACTTACAATATTATTGTTACTTCGACCACAACCTCACTTCCGAGGAAGAAATCGTTATGTTACAAGTTGTGTCATAGAAAATCTTTATGGTCATCAATCATATGCATATTTTACTACAACTAGTAAGTAGTTTTGATTCTTTAACTTCCGTGAAGCGATCTGAACACAAGTAAGATATCGTTTCAGGCTTCCACAACGCTCGCTTCGCACTCACAAACATAACCCATTTAGCACGAACTGCGGGGTCCTGTGGAAATCTGTGCATGGGGACACCATCGCCCGACCCCTACGTTAAAACATTTACCTGATACAACTTGTCTATGACGAAGTCCTACTAATGTATGTTTGAGCAATGGCCACTTTTAATGGACTACTAAAGAATAAATTTGGTGTTCCGCATAAGACTAACCACAAATCTTCATGGCGAGTAACAAAAACAAAGTTTGCTGTCGTCATTTCCTATACTTGTCTAAACCCGGACTACTGGGATCATGGCGGATCCTTCTAATTATAGGATCCTTCTAATTATAATATCTCTTACCAGCTGTTTATGTAAAACCATGGAGAGAATGGTCAATAACCGACTGGTATGGTACCTGGAAACAAATAATCTTATAACAAATATTCAGTGTGGTTTTAGAAAAAATCGAAGTACCATTGACCATTTAGTTAGACTGGAAACGTTCGTAAAGGATGCTATCATCCAAAAACAACATGCTGTATCAATATTTTTCGATTTAGAGAAAGCGTATGATACGACCTGGAAGTATGGAATTTTAAAAGATCTTCATGAAATGGGATTGAGAGGCCGTTTGTCTCAATTTATATCTCAGTTTTTAACAGATCGGCAGTTCCAGGTACGTGTCGGTTCCACCATGTCTGATATGTATGATCAAGACCAAGGTGTACCACAAGGTAGCATATTATCTGTAACGTTATTCAGTATAAAATAAACAGCTTATCTAAAGTTTTAAATGAATCCATTGATGGTTCATTATTTGTTGATGATTTTAATGTGTCATGTCGAGGTAAAAATATGCACACGATTGAGAGACAATTGCAGTTATGCCTTAATAAAATTAATGATTGGTCAGAACGAAATGGTTTTAAGTTTTCAAAAACTAAAACTAATTGCATTCATTTCTGTCGGAAATATAAGCCGCACAGAGACCCAGAATTGCATCTAGCAGGCTCTCCAATTAAAATTGTAAAGGAAGTTAAATTTCTGGGAATAATATTTGACCAGCATCTTACTTTCTTACCACATATTAAATCTCTGAGAGCTAAATGTCTGAAGGCACTCGATTTATTAAAGGTAGTTTCAAACTCCAAGTGGGGAGGGGACCAGTCAACCCTCCTTCACTTATACAGATCACTCGTCCGTTCTAAACTCGATTATGGTTCCATCATTTATGGTGGAGCCTGCAAAAGCAATCTTAAATTATTAGATTCTGTTCATCACCAAGGTCTCAGACTTTGTGTTGGATCTTTCGAACTTCTCCTATTGACAGTCTTTCCGTAGAGGCTGATGAGCCATCTCTCAAACAACGCCGTATAAAATTATCGTTACAATATATCACAAAACTATATTCTAGTGAGTCTAACCCGGCATATAACTGTGTTTTTAATCCTCTTTATGAGGATCTATATAACAAAAGTCTTCCCTAGTTCCGCCTCTTGGGCACAGAATTAAGCCATTCATTTCTGCTGCCGGCATTGCGCTGGAAAATATATCTCCTTCGCGTCTTCTTTCTTCTCCTCCTTGGCAGCTGGTGAGGCCTGAAGTTGACCTAACTCTGACAAATTTTAAGAAATCAGAAACCAATGAATTACAATATAAACAGGAATATATTCAAATAAAAGTAAATATAATACATACAAGTCCTTATTTACAGATGGGTCCAAGGACGGTGGCGCAGTGGCTTGTGCCACTGTTATTGGATCAAAAACAATATCTTCTAGATTACCTGACAACAGCTCTATTTTCACAGCGGAAGCTAATGCCATACTCACAGCTCTTAAATATATTAACAAACACCCAAAATCTAAACAATACATAATATTTTCAGATTCTCTTTCTTGCCTGCAGGCTATTAAAAATTTGTCTTCTCAACATCCACTTTTAATTGAAATCGTTGAATTATATAATGATCTTGGTACTGGCCAATGCGACATCGTCTTTTGTTGGTTACCCAGCCATGTAGGAATCTCAGGTAACACAATGGCCGATTTTGCTGCCAAGGCAGCACTCAACAAATCTGTGACCCCACTTCTTATCCCATATTCTGATTATAAAGCCGTGATTAGATCATATATCCGAGATCTAATGCAAAAGAAGTGGGACACCCAGGTAGGTATCAATAAATTACACGAAATTAAACCAACTATCGGTCACACCTACTAGGGTTGTCAGTCCAGGTTTGAGGAGGTCATCATGCGACGATGTTGCATTGGTCATACAAGATATACACATGAGTATTTGTTGAAAGGTGAAGATCCTCCATTCTGTATCCCTTGTGATGAACGAATCACGGTCAAGCATGTCCTGCTTGACTGCATTGATTTTTCCATCACAAGGGATAAATATTTCAGTGTCAAAACACTGAAGGATCTTTTTTATACTGTCAATTCTCATTTAATAATTGTTTTTTAAAGAAATAGAATTATTGCATAAATTTTGAATAATAAGTTTTGTAAATATATAAATGGTATTTTTAAACATGGTAGTATGAATTAGCAACTGCGATTGTGAGCGGCTGTATCCTCAAAGGGGTTAAAGTATCGTAAAATTATTGTCCTCCTGAGAGGGTACGTAAGTCCCATACACTTTCAAAGTCCATATCGCACATAATCATCAACTAGCCGATGTGACTTTAAATCTTAACTTGTTCATCGGGTGCTTTGCTTATTTGTTCTGGATTTTTCGCATGGCTACATTCCACTAATGATGTGTTCCATGGTGATACCTTGTTACATATAAACCGTGAATGCATAACTCATAATGAGTTAAAACATTTAACAATGGAAATAGAAATTGATCACGACTTCTTGTTCAATGAAGTCTTTGAGCTTGCCAAGGCAGATAACTTAACAACATTCTTATTTGAGAACAAGCGTCTAAACAAGCATTGGGACATGATATTAATTGATTATACGTTGACAATAATATAATAATAATAATAATAATAATACTGTGTGCACCCATATTGCTTAAGACTCAAAGCGCTAATAGTATTACCCCGGTCAGCTGAAGAGTGGGCATTCGATTTTCATTTTCACCCCTTAGGGAATATATAATATAAGCTAACGGCCACAATATCCTGTCATCCTCCAGCAGTGGATGAGTACACAGAGTCACAGTAATAATTAAACACTCAGTCATCGAGGTAGAAACTCAAAGGCTGGAAACTCTCATGAATATTATTCTTGTAAACTCCTGCCTGTTTCTTCTGTAGTTTTGTGTAATCCTGTGTATTCTATTGTATGACCGTTTATTTCACTGTATTCCTGGGTATTCAGTTGCATTCCGTTGTTTTCCAAGTATTCCATAATATTTTTGCATATTCCATTGTATTGCATTTTATTTTAAAGTAGTACACAGCACATGCATTTCTCGAATGAAGACTCAAACTTCTGTTTTCAAGTTTCAGTTGTCTGCAACGGGTCTGGGCCTAGACTACTATTTCTCGCAGATGTATTGCTTGAGCACAGTACAGTCATCATCCTTCCACTCGCCGGATGGGATGATCATCGAGATACACTTGGCGTTGTTGTGAGGTTCATTAGGCGCCCACGGTGGGTTCACGATCGTTGTTCCATCCATCCACATCGGGGTTACGCCATTATGCAAGAAAGCCCCGATATAGAACTCAGCAGAAATACCTGCAGACAGAATTGAACAGATCTTGTATCTGTTGGGAAACTGAAAGCTAACGTTGCCTCTAAGATACCTTTTCTGGTGTCCCTTGTCGTGATATTGCTGATTTTTACTAAAAGCTACAGTAGACCATTGCAGACCAACAACGTAAAATATAAGAAAGATATGATAATGCCAATCAAACAGATCAGCGTCAAACAGCATTTTATAGTGGTCCTTTACAGTTGTGATAAGCGTACTTTACTGTATATAGTACTGGTCTACTTCAAGATGAGCAAGACACACATTACTGGTCTTCTTCAGTTCAGGGCTTTAAGTGGGTATTGATCACCTGTATTTACCTGTATTGCTCAGGTGGTCAATGATGTAGGTCTGTTTGGCAGCAGTGTTCAGGTAAATCAGATGACCGCTGTTCTCCCCACAAATCGTTCGTGCGCTGGACCAACTTGACCCGGTACTGCTAGCTCGGAAGGTCAAATGGATGCTTGGGACGCTGATAAATCCATCGCTTAACACTGCAAGACACAATGGTATTCGTACTCACAAGGAAACAGTGGACATTGACAGTGAAACGAAAAATGTTTGTGTCGCCTTAAACGTCATGCATATTGAAAGAACAGTTTCAATTAGCATAAAATAAGATAAGACCTCTATGGACAATGTTGGGGAATATTAATCGATGTTTAAGATGTAAGGTCGTTCAGTGAACCGCGGATAGACATGCGTTGAAATGGTATTTTGTTACCATGTCTGTACACAGAATCATGTTCATGTCGGGCAATTCCCCTGGGAAAGTTATTTACTAGTTGCCTTTTGTTCAACAAGCAGATCGTTATATCGAGCTTCAAAACAGTTCATTATTGTGATTTCATTTCTTTACCAAGTTGTTCGCACAGATAAGACTTTTGTATGACAACACGATTAACATATCACCATTGGCCGTTGCCTCTGTTGTTGTAGTTGATGCTGTTGTGACCAATGCTGTCGTTTCCGGAGGTGTTGTAGTAGTTGCTGTTGTGGCTTCAGTTGTGATCACATTCACTGTGGAGGTGAGTTCTGTTGTAGCCTCATCGTCGTCTGTTGAACTGATAGGTGCTGCCGCTGGATTCGTAATATCTTCTGTCGTACTTTCAGATGTTACTGTCGTAGATGACATCGTGGCCTTCATCTCAGCTACATATGAAGACACGTAATGCACGTGTCCCGGTGCAGCCTGGGAGGTGGCCGCCATGTACATCCGCATCTTGTTCAGACAGCAGGACATGTTGGGCTTGTACACGAACACGCTGTGACATAGCTTGAGACTCGAGCAGTCCTTTAGGCACTCCGTCACGCTAGTGACGTCATGGCATGACATCATGTGTGCGGTCACGGTGCGGTCATCTAGTTCGTAATCGCGTTTCCATTCAAATTCTTCAATGGAAACAACGCTGATCCTGCAAGACACGTAGTGAGTGAGTGAATGAATTAGTGGGTGGGTGGACAGAAAACGCTGAATCAGCAATTTATCGAAATAGTGATATGATATGATATGATAATCATAGTGATCTGATTATCTTTCTAGAGTTTTTGGCACAATACCCGTCTTCGGGAGTGTAGTTATACGTGCAGAACACTAAGTTTAGACTCTCAATTAAATTTGTTTAATTTAAAGTAAAAGTTAATGTTAATATTTTAAAATTGTCAACACATCTGTACACGTGCTTGTGGTGTAAAGGATTGTTCAATGGAACCGCTTATGTTAATATTCAGAAACACACAGGTTGCTGCCTAAACTTTTGCAAATTGATAACATAATTCACATCCTGGCAATCTGATCACATGAACAGAAGCACATGGGCTCAGTCAGACAGAAGGCCTCAATGTTGACAGCAGCACACATTGAGTTATGGCAGAACACAGATGTGAGTTATTTCTTGAATTTATGTTTCTTCTATGTCCACAACGAGAAAACATATTGATTCAATTAATTGAGTATTTAGAAAATATGGATTTTGAAAATTTGTACACTTTATTAGGTTCAGGTTTGGATTGTATACTAAACAAGTATTTTGTGTCTCCTTTATAGTTTCTCTGAACTTCTCGTCAACTGTTTTGTATACAACGATACAACGTATGTACTTAATGCAACGCTACAACAACGATAGACATAACGAAAACGGAAATAAACTTTGGTGAGAGTGTATCAGACTAATGTGTTTCTTGCAACAACAGTAGTGTAGCAGGAATCTAAGACCTGCATCAATGCTGAACTTTGGTTGTTATTCTACAGCAATCGTTATGTGTAAATAATCAAGTGTGGGCCAGATTGGCATCACAAGCATCGACCTAGTCAAATGGGATACGATGACATGCTTGAGCCAAGTTAGCGAGCCTGACCACCTGCTCCGCCAGGCATGAGTTGCTGAAGAGCAGTTCCAGATGCATCTTCACAGGTTCATCAACTCAGGCTTCCTACCCACATCAAATTGACACGCCGTGATAAAGCTGAGATAGCGTTCCTCCCTCCCTCTCCCGCCTTCGCTCCCTCGCTACTAACTCACTCACTGGAGAATGAAAACGATATTTCAAACATTTCTAGCAACAAATCAGTGAAAATATGATTATTTGTTTTTCAGAGGCGATAGTAAATAGCTGCATGTCGGTAACGAAACTTTAAACTCTCCATCAAAAAATAAAAACAACAACGTACTTACCATAGAAAAGCCGTTAAAAGAAGATAACTGCAAAGTGTATAAATGAAGCAGTACACCATATTCTGTGTACAACCCTCAGTTGCTCAGTGATGTTCCAGGTAAATTGTGTTGACGATAGCGTAATATGAAGACATGAAACACTCAACTTCTCACGACTAAAGCTAGTCTCCAAATAACAGCAGAGTTTGACGAACAATAGAATTAATCATCAATCGCTGCGATCCTCCCGAGCTTGCGTGACATCCCTCCCTGCACAGGAACCATAGCGCTCATCGGCTGGTCCGCTACATATGTCAATCACATAAATGGATTGATTTTTAAAAACGTACAAAGACGCTTCCTGGACCAAGGAACAAACAGCATCCCCTCTTCAGAATCTCACAGCAGCAAGCATGTGTCTATTGCAACAAGGATTTGTTCCATGGTCTGGCAGTAAATATTGACTGACTGCTGCAGTGAGTATCGTTATAAAGGCATAAAAGAGTGAGAAAAGATTTATTAATTGTAATGGAGATTCATTCCAGGAAAACACAATTATAAGCAAACTATCCTTTCCAAACGTGTTACCTTCGTATTCAGTTGTAATCCCTTTTATTCCAAGTTTTCCATAATATTTCTGCATATTCCATTGTATCACATTCTATTCCGAAGTAGTACGTACCACATACATTTCTCGAATAAAGACCCAAACTTGCCACATTTTCTGTTTTCAAGTTTGAGTCCACTGCAACGGAAAGAACTGAAAGCTATCTAATCATAAATATAATCACTGAACCTAATATCAAAGACGATGTGACTTTACAGTCACAATGCACGTCTCAGTATGGGGTGATATGGTGGGAGAATGAACGCTACGAGTCTGCTAGCCAAATAGGCTGTTTAGTCTGCCAATTTATTATTTATTACAGTTACCTGCTTTAAGGTTTCACATGACCCGGTAGAAAAATAGGAAGCTATAGTCTCCTGTTTAAATGGGCTGTTCACACTGCCAATTTATTTCGTGTAACTTGTGATAGCTTAAATGTAAGATCAGACATTGTACTTCTTGCAATTTGTATCCACAAAGGTTACATGATAATCACAGCTGCTGGGATATGAACCAATGAACCAGTAAATCAAGGTCAGCGAGCCTGACAACTCACTCATATTAGTCAACTCTTATGACACGCGTGGGCTGCTGAAGACTCATTCATTCACTCACTCACGTAATGCTAAAATGAAAACGATATTTCAAAAGATTCTAACAACAAGTAGGTGCCAATTTGATTATTTGTCATCAGGCTCTATAGAAAGTAGTTGTACGTCGGTACCTTCATATTGGATCTTTCTCATTTCAACATTTGCAAGAATAGGGATAATATTAGCACTTGTAACGAGTTAATTGAGTGAGTTGAAACGGTATTTCAAAATTTCCAGCAACAAATAAGAGTAAATTTGACTTCTTGTTTATCAAGTTTGATAGAAAACAGCTGTATTTTGGAAACGAAATCTTAAATTCTCCACCAAATTAAAACAAAACAAAACGTACTTACAACAGAAAAGCCTTTAAAAGTAGATAACTGCAAAGTGTAGAAATGAAGCAGTACACTATATTCACCCTTCAGCTGTTCAGTGATGTTCCGGGTAAATTGTGTTGACGGTAGAGTAATATAGGGCCATGAAACACTGAACGTCTCACGACTAAAATTAGTCTCCAAATAACAGTAGTGTTTGACGAACAATAGAATCACTTATCATTTGCTGCTTTCCTCCCGAGCTTACATGTCCGGCCCTCCCTGCACTGGAACCAGAGCGTTCGTCCGGTGGCAGGGAACAAATCTCAATCACACAAATGGATTGATGTTTTAAAAATCTGTGAGTCAGTGCTGAAGTATGCATGATCAGGGGGCGGTGGGGTAGCCTAGTGGTTAAGGAGTTCGCTCGTCACGCCGAGGACCCGGGTTCGATTCCCCACATGGGCACAATTGTGAAGCCCATTTCTGGTGTCCCCCGCCGTGATATTGCTGGAATATTGCTAAAAGCGGCGTAAAACTAAACTCACTCGCTCACTCATAAATGATCAGTGGTGAAAGGCTGTTTGACTTTACTGCTATGTGTGGTAATTAGCGTTATTTAATTTGTCATGTGCTTTTTACAGTGCATTCAGCAAAACTCCAGCTAATGACAGCGGTGTATATGAGTATATGTGTAAAGAGATATGGTCAGTCAGTAAGTTGCTTTTAAGCTTTTGTTACACAAGCTCGTAACAGATTCACTGAAGGAAAAGCCGAAAAGCCGCAGACCAGTGTGATGAATCCGTCGATAGCGTGTAAAGTTTAACTGTGGCGAGAAAACAACTTTAACAACACCAGCTGCCACGTGACTAAAAACTACAAGCACCCATCTACCGTTAGTCTACGGAATGTACATTGCTATTAAAGCTGAAGTATGTTTGGCTCCGACCATGTAAAACTGGCGCATATGAAAATCATTCGAATAAAGGTCTCAATATATCACTAGCATTCCATTGTCAGTTTGTTTGGAATATATACTGAGTCAAAAAAGAAACATCACATTCTTTCTTCAGGGCACTATAAAAGAACAAGAGATGGTAAGATGGTTAAATTGTTATTATTTCATTGCTGAGATCTGTGTGATGTACTCGATACACTGACAGTGCCATAATCAGTTCCATTAGGCTACACCGCCGTTCCAAAACATGGGTATACAGAATGTCAAGTCACAAGAATAAAATTGCGAAATTTCTCAGTTCAATATCGTGTATGGCCACCCCGCGCATTCGCCACTGCCAAACACTGTCTCCTCATCGACTGCCTGATGCTTGTGAACACGTGGTTGGGGATTCTGCGCCATTGCTCTTGCAAGGCAGCGCCAAGTTCCTGCAAATTCTGAGGTTGGTTCCTAAGACCACGAAGCCTTCTCCCAAGTGCATCCCAAACGTGCTCTATTGGATTAAGGTCAGGGGCCCTCGATGGCCGGGCATACCATAAGGAACACGTTTTTATGGATAACAACTTCTTTATTTCGTGAGTGCGACGTTTCGATTCAGATTCTTGTACCGTTGTCAAGCAAGAGTGATGACATCACACCAAGAAAAACCGGATTCAGGTATACTAACTGAAAAAAGAAAATACATTTCCTGGACTGAGCAGTGCCTTGTATTAATTAAGGTCGTCAGGGAATCTATTGTCTGTAAGGGAAAAGTCAATCTGGAGAATATTACAATACAAGCCAAAATTAAAGGTTTGGACTGAAAGAAAGAAAAATGGCAAAAGCAGAACACATTTATAAAACAAAATATACTCTTCAGAAATTATGAAAATCACTTTTACAAGCAACTAAGGTCATGTTGATGTTAAGATAAACAGCACCATGGATCCGTAATTACAATCCTGCAATGTATGAGAAACGAAGTGCTATGTCTTTGTGTTACATCTCACACGATTACGTGAAAAGTGATATTTAAAAGTCCAAATCTAATACATCACCAGGGCCTGTTGGCATTCAAACTGTTTACCTGTGTAGAAACACCATTACTTC